AAGTAGATACTCTGGAGGGAAATTAAAAGCACATTACATTGGGCTCCTGCTGTGCTTTGCCTTTGGAGACATTTCTCTCTCTCTCCACTGACCTGGCTCCCTAATGAGGCATGTAAACTAGGGAATCCCCCCAGCAAGTGTGCTTGCTTGCAGAATTTGCAAAAGGGAGAAGTCCAGGATACTTGCCTGGCCTATCTGTATTTCTGACCGAATCAACTAGCACCACTGGAGATCAAATACGAATTAGAGAAACAACATTGGCAGGAACAGGTTTAACCCCCCGAGCCTATAAGGGGAGAGAATACAGCATTATTGATTCCTGACCTTGAAATGATGTAAATAAGAGCACAGCAACCCTAGAGGAGTTGTAGCAAAATAGTTATAGCATTGCAAGCAGGTTGAAAAATACAGTTAATATACATACTTCCCCAGATGCTTGTTTATTGTTATTCAAGACATGTTTATTATGCAAAATGATAGAGCAGAAAAAAGCAGAGAAAAAGAAAATGCAAAGAAACACTGAGCTCTTAATGTGACTTGGGTTTTTTCAATGCTGTTTAGGTTTTTTTATTGTGCATAATCATCCCCTTATTAGCAGGAATCTTTGAAGTGATTCAAGCTCTAATTTCAGCATTCCAAACTCACAGGTTTATACTGTAAAACCATACTGAGCTCTCGTAAGCGACCCATTTTTTTCCCACTGTATTCTATATCTCTGCTAGGGTTTTCTCAGTCTTTCCAATAAATTATGTATCACAATTTGCCATTTCAAAAATAATTAGAACTCTGAGTTAAACAACAAGGAATATCCGAGAGCAGTATGTTTAGAAGAGAAGTGTTATGCACTTGGGGCAAAACCAATCCCAGCTGTAACACCACTGAATTATACATATCATCGTATTGAGAGCTGTAATTTCAGCATACTTGGAGTGATTGGGTGGGCCTGCGGAGGCTCTACAGCCCCATGATGAGCATCTGCCTCTCAGGCAAAACACTTCACAGGCACTCCCTTCCCTACATTCCTGTGAGTCGTTGCAGCAGGGGTAATGGAGAGAAAGCTGGGCACTGATGAGAGAAACTTCACAGAGAAAGGTTATTCAGGAGTAGGAATTAATTTGGTGGTGGAACTATTAACTCCAGACAGAGACAGGAGAGCATGTTCTCTGTCTTCTCCTGTTACAATTCGGCTGTAAATTCACTGGAGCAGGACGTATCTCTTTATTCTGTGTTTCCCTCTCCTCTGCAACAACCAGCCTTCGGTCTCAGCTTCCCAAGCATTAAGATAGTACAAGTAACACCCGCTGCCCTTCATTCATTCTGTATATTTTTACTTTGGCATAAAATGCTAACAGTGGATCCTCAGGAGAGGCATGTCTCTCCCCAGAACAGGTGCTGATAAAAACCTTTGTGCACCATTAGGGAATTTACAGCTGCTCTACATTACAAGAAATCTCAAATGGGAGCACACCAATGACTCTGCAAGTTTGCTATGAAGACAGTGTTTTGCATCCTACTGTCTGCAAAGCCAGGTGCCTCAGACCAAGATGTGATTTTCTTGCTTACTAAGCACCCAATTCCCCAGCAGACCTCAGAGAAGCAATAAGCTAGTCTAGGGAAAAAAATAATCAGGTATCAAGCGTAAGTAAACAACACACAAAAGTCAGACAGCTGCTTCCCAAGCAAAGAGGCTTTGGCATCTAGAGCATTTAGGCCTCTGAAGCTGGCTAGGCATCTATGGCTGGCTTCAACCCAGCAACGTAACCCCACACCATCCCTAACTGAAGGGAAGAGATGAGGAAACTCATTGTTTAAGGTATCAATGTGGCTGAGCACATAGGAGGGTCTTGTGTGTTTCTGCAAAGTGCGTTCTTACCAAGTTTGGCTTTAGAGGACCCCACTCAGCCCTGCTTTTCTGCTAATCAGCACAAGAAAGACTTTTTCCAAGGGCTGGTTATTCTAAACCCATTCATTCAAGAGCCCATTGGCCCAAACTCAGAAGGAGCTGGCACAAACCATCTCAGAGACCAGGCTGATAATAGCCTCTGGTTTTATCCAGGGCAGAGGTTGTCAGCCAAGGTCTCAGCTGACGCACACAGATTAAATATCACCAAAAACAACCCCACCAAACAAAACAAACCCATAGTGATGATGTGTTCAGTTACAGCCACAATCTGGGCTCAAGAGGAGAAAAAAAAAAACACAAAAAAGCAACAAAATCACCATTTCCCTAGGCAGTTGCACTTTATCTGAAAGCAGTCCTGGGCTTGAGGGTGTTACAAGAAATCCTAGCAGGGCTAGGCCAGGGACAGACAGTGGGGGAGGCACACAAGCAGCAGAAAAAAGTTCATTTATCAATGGATCTGCATGAGTGAGCAATACCTATGGGGAATATTGACCCATTTTTTTCAGAAATCCCTCAGAAAAGACTAGTGAAAAAGAAAGGTACATCCACAGCACCAAAGGAAACTGGCCCAAGACAGAGCAAAGCTGTAGTTTAGGGTCTGCTAAGCAAAGGAACAGGGACTATGTGTCCTTTGGTGTGGGCAGCAATCAGGTCCAGGCAGCACGGCCAGGGGCCCTGCTTGCCCCAGAGAGGAACAGACTGTCAAGTCCTGCCAAAGCAATTCCCCAGCACAGCCTTCGAGGCTGGCACAGCCATGCCAAATGCTGGCTTGGAGTGGGATCCTGGCCCCACAAAGCAAGCTGCAGCATCCCAAAAAGACTGCTTGAACAGGCTGAGCTCTTCAGTCATATTGAGTTCTCTTCTAGGACTCTGGTCTCATCCCTTGTCTGATGTTATGAGTGGCTTGACCCACGCTCCCTGCTCCTAACAGGCTTCATCCACAAATTTTCTTTTTTCTTGCCTTGGGGTCTGCTCCAAAGCACAGTGAATTCATTGATTTACTGCTGTAAGACAGAGACAAAGCCACTAGTCAATACAAGAAGAAAATACTGTCCAGTGAGTTCCATCTCCCATAGAGATGGGCCAGTAGCATCCATTTACTGCAAGCAGAAACCTTGGATCACGTTGATGAAATGAACAGTTTAACTCTTATTAGTTCAGACAGAGCTGACTGCCATCAAGTCATGGCATGTAATGAGGTCCACTTCGTTAGCCACTGGCCATCATGATGCCTTCCCTGATTAACCTTCCTACTTAAGACAGGCACACCTGCTGGGAATAAGCAGGCCCCATTAAACCACCCTCATTTGAATATATGTATGATCTGGTGCCTTTTAGGACACTTCATATGACTAGCAGATGTGTTTCCTGGACTCCTGGTCCTCCTGCTACCCACCATCTCTTGGTATGTCCCTCCCACCATTTGTATCACCTCACTACTGCTAGGAAGAGATACTTTTCCTCTGCACCATCTCTAATCTCTCAGCTGTCAAACATCATGCTTCCAACTCTCCATCTCTTCTTTTACCTGAGCCCCATGCCTTTCCCTCCCTTGCAGAAAATGCTGACCCCTCATTGCTCCAAAAAGACACATCCCCCTCCGCCCCAGCTGGATGTAGCTGACACACACTGCTTTCCTGCAGTCCTCATTTATGGGCCACCAGTGGTACAAGGAGCCTCAGCAGCAGGCCAGGACCCTTTATGCCCAGCACTGCACAAACACAGGGCAAAATGTCAGTCCTGACCCCCCCAACTATGTGCCTGGAGGGAAGCACGCACAATAACGCAGTACCGCACCATACTTGGTACTACCTTTAGGACTCTGATAGCTTTACAAAGAGAGGAAGTTTTCATTGTTAGTAAACCAATGTAATTTATTTAGAAGCAGTCATTTATGGTTACTGGACTATGAAAGAACAGGAAGCGTCTGGCATCCACAGAGGTCCAGATTGATCTCTCTGTCTCTTCTTGACAAGCAGCCAGTTTTGAAACCTATCTCATCAGGCATACTAACACATCCACTTGCCATTTTCTACCCTGAGCCACTGGGGAGACAAAACTTTGCTACCTCCTGAGGGAAAGCAGGAAATTGCAACCACGTGAGCAGTTTAAAACTGACCGGGAACAAAGATGGATGGTAAGAGTTCAGAAAAAAATGTGTAAGAGCAATTCAAACTGTTGTCCTTTTAGTGGTCCTATCTCCACTCTCACGTACGCTTTTAAAGCAAAGTAAATGCCTCGACAAGAGCAGAATCACTGCACTGTAAATTTACACAAAAGCAGATGAGATTAGAATCTCAGTTATACACTTTAAAGATATCATAACTACAGAAATGAGAAGTGCATTATTAACTATCACTTTGACTATGTAGAACTAGAGCAAAGTTATTTGAAGCATAAAAAAATTCTGGCAAAGGGCTGCCATATTTAATAAATCACTGAATCAATTATTCACTGTGAAAATCAATTACTTACTTCAAATGAGAATCTTATGAATAACCTCATGCCCTTTCATGCCATCTAAGAAAGTTATAGGGGAATTAGTCAGTAAAAAATGCCTCACTTATCTTTTACGTGCATTAAAAAGACCACACAAATACAGGGAAATTCTGCTCCGCTGAAGCACTCTGCCAACAGAATAGTCCAGAACCATTTTAATGAAGTCAGTGTATTACTGTGGATTTACACTGCCGTCAAAAGCAGAGCATGACCCATTGGGGCACCACCTATGAACAGTTATCCGGGCACAATTCAGAAGCAATTCCATTCAGTCCATGGCATTTCACAAATGCGAAACCAGAATATAACCAGCCAACCACACAACCTCCTCTACAATGTGACCTACATTCAAAGGAACACAAAGTGTATCTTCACAGGTCAGGAAATATTGCCACAAATCTCTGCAGAGAGACTTTAAAGTGAATGTTGCATGGCCTTGCAGCAGCTCCCCCCCC